TTTTTTGGTTTTTCGAGACAGGGTTTCTCTGTGGCTTTGGAGCCTGTCCTGGAACTAGCTCTGTAGACCAGGCTGGCCTCGAACTCACAGAGATCTGCCTGCCTCTGCCTCCTGAGTGCTGGGATTAAAGGCGTGCACCACCATCGCCCGGCCTCAGGCAAACAAGATATCTTGTACAAACAAGATATCACTACACATCAGAGTAGTTCTTACTTCACAGAGCTAATGCAAGCCACACACTTGCTCTGAAGTAGAGATTGCCCTTTGTCTTCATGATCAATGACAACTTCCTTCTGCTGTGAAGCCTAGTCAGAGATCCTGGTGAGGAAAGAAGCATCACTTTTAGAGTCCCATTCCCCTGACGTTTTTTATAGTATTGTTCCCTAGGCGCTTGTTCCCTAGGCACCATTGCATGAGGAATACAAGTCAAAGTGACTTACGGTCCCCTAACTGTACAGTGCCCAGTATCTGTCGTTTTCAGCCTTCACATGTGGCGTGCCACACAGCCATAAATGACGGGAGTGCCAAGGGCTTGAATATGAGTAATTCCTTTGACTACCGAGGCTCTCCTGTGGAAGAGGCCAGCTGGGTGAGGAATGGCAGGCCTTTCCTTGGGGCTGAGTAGCTGTGCAAGCCAGCAGCATGGCCTGACACAGCTTCCTTTGTAACAGTCCGATGCTTCCCTTCCAGCTGTCAGAGACCACTGCCGAGTCCAACTTAAAGGACAAAGAACTGGACGAACTGAAGATCATCAACCGCAGGAGAAAGTGAAGAGCCTGGACAGGCCCGCTAGATTAGAAGTCACCACTGACCCCTGGGGAGGAGGATGTGGCAGAGCCCTTTGATTTTCAGTCAAATTAATAGACTTGCCCTGAGAGTGAGCATTCACAGACCCTAGCTCCCTTGGACTTGGGGACAGGGAAGTGGCATGGGATGGAAGAAACCAAGATTCCAAGCCAGGGCCATAGCTTGGGAGGCACCACAGGCACACTGCCCAGGGTCTCAATCTAAAGCAAACCCCAGGCAGGTCTAGAAAATAGTTAGCCGGGGCTGGAGAGATGGCTCAGAGGTTAAGGACACTGCCTGTTCTTCCAGGGGTCCTGAGTTCAATTCCCAGCAACCACATGGTGGTTCACAACCATCTAAAATGAGATCTGGTGCCCTCTTCTGGCATGCAGGCATACATGGTGGCAGAACACTGTATTGTATATGTAATAAATAAAATCTTTAAAAAAAAAAAAAGAAAATAGTTAGCCCTTGGCTGCTGTCTGCAGGTGACAGTATACAGCTGTCTGTTGAAATAGGAGCGGCAGGGCTGCGTCCCCAGCACCCCAGCTGCCTGCTAGCTTATGCCCCGAAATAACAACACACAAACTGTATTCATTTATGCACTGCTTGGCCCATTTCTATCTAGCCTCTTCTGGGCTAATTCTTGCACCTGGACTAGCCCATTTCTAATAATGTGTGTAAGCACCCCAAGGTGTGCTTACCTGGAAGATTCTAGCCTACATCCATCCTGGGTCGGGGCTGCCTGGGAGAGCAGAGCTGTCCAGTCTGAGCTCACTTCCTCTTCCTCCAAGCATCCTATTCTGTTTACTCCTCCCACCTATGTTTTAACCTATCAGGGCCAAGGAGTTTCTTTATTGCTTAACCAATGAAATCAACAGATTGATATATGACAGTCCCACATCAGCTGTCCATTGTCTCAGAGTTGCTGTGTTCAGACAGTCGGCAGTTCACCTCTTCACACTGGGGTCTGGCACCAGTTCCAGTTCATAGCAATTCACACTTCAGTGGCTCTGCATTCTCTGCCTTCGAAGAATCCCCACCCCCAAGTCCACAGCCTCTTCTGCCATCACCTTCCCAGCAGCAACCTCTGCCCTCATAGCACACTGTAATTTACTCTGCTTTCTGTTTCGACTATTTTTATTTTTATTAAATGGTGTTCAATAATCTCTGTGTAGCAAAATAGGTAAACAAAAACAAAACCATTGTGGGTTCCCCAAAATGAGCAGAGCTGGGTTCTAACTTTTTGTTGCTTCACCAAAAGAATTTTTAGGGTTAGGGAAACAGCACCTTGAAGTGGGAAGCCACCCTAGAAGAGAAATAATGACTTCATGCTCAAATTCCTCTGCTCCGCTGCTTTAGGGAGCTGGCACTGGTGGCCCACTATGTGGTCCAGACCTGGTGAGGAGTGGGTGGCATGGGAATCAGTGCCCAAGTCTGTGTGATCTAGTCTTATCTAGCCAGAGGGGAATCTCATTGTTAGAGTCGAGCAGGGGACACAGGTTGAGGCATGGAGCCCAGGGCTTTAAACTGGGGACTGCCTCAGTGGGTCCCTCCTTCTGGGCTGGTGTTGAGTCCGGCAGTAGGCTCAGTCCTTTGCACTCAGTCTCACACCCCCTCAGTTCAGCCCTGTTAGCATGCCTAGCTATGCCCTAGGAGACAGTGTTCAGAGACCAGTTTGGAAACCGCTTCACACAACAGTGCAAGTGCTGGAGGCCTCTGAGTCCCAGCCCATAGTGACGGAGGGACAACCTGCACTGAGGCTTGGCTTACAGTCTCCTAAAGGCCAGCAGAGCGCTCCAGGGGGATGGACAGAGGCGAAGGGAGAACTGCAGCTCACAACCTCACTTCCTGACCCCCGAGCGAGTGCCTAACATGAAGTCTACTCTGCACCCCTTTTTGTTTTTCCAGACAGGATTTCTCTGTGTAATCCCGACTATTCTGGAACTCTGTACCAGGTAGACCTCCATCTTATAGAGAGCCACCTGCCTCTGCCTCCCAAGTGCTGCCACCACCACCCGCCTCTTTTTTCAACTTTAATTCCATTAGTTTATTTATTTGTTTTTATGGGGTATATTGTATGTGTCCCTCTGCTCCACATACATACATACATACATATATGTATATATATACATATATGTATATATATATATAT